CCCTAACCCAGGTGTTTCTAACCTTTGCAGGTTAAAAGTTGTGAGAACTCAATTCCCCAAATTCCCCAGCCAAGCCTGGGGAATTCTGGGCATTGAAGTCCACACATCTTCAAGCTGCCAAGGTTGAGAAACACTGAGTTAGAGTATTCGCAGCTGAACTATTAATTTTCTTGTTACTTCTGTGTGCAAGGTGTTCTCTAGATTTCCTTTATCTATCGGTTGCTGGTGCATAAGTCGAGGCATGTTGATTCTTCTTCAGCAAGTCTTACTTTTCTGTATGTTCAGTCAAGTTATCTTTAATAATGCTTTCTACCAATTTACCAGAAGATATTAAACTAATTGGTTTGAAATTTCCCAAATCATACTGACTCCATTTTTCTGAAATCAAGAGTTACACTGGCTGTGTTCCAGTTCTATCCTACAGAGGTTATCTTTAAGGACAACAAATATATTTTTGTTGGAAGACCAATAGTTTCACATTTGAATTTCTTTTAAAATTCTCAGCTGACTATTTATTAGCTTATTCTTGTCATTAAGGCCTTTGATTTATATCTTGTTCTTACTATTTATTCCATGATCATGGCCTAGAATCCAGGAGACTGTGAGTTCTAGTCCCGCCTTAGGCCTGAAAGCTGGCTGGGTGGCTTTGGGCCAGTCACCCCCACTCAGCCCAACCCACCTCTCAGGGTTGATGTTGTGGGGAAAAAAGGAGGAAGAAGGAGTATTAGGTATGTTCACCACCTTGAGTTATTTATAAAAAATAATAAAGGCGGGATAAAAATCAATCAAACAAACAAATAAATAAATAAATATCTCAGACTCCCTGAGAAAGTATCTATTGTACATCTTCTATAGTGATAACACATATAAATAATTAATTCTGCATTCTTCAGTTCTCTTTTAGTACTTCTTTAACTCTTATCAGCAAATAGTCTGACTACTTTCCCAGCTGATATTTGGCTTCTAGTTTTTTAAAATATTTTTTTATTTTTGGACTAAATATTTTTAATTCTCGTGGAATACTTCCTATATTCTTGTTCTTTGTACCCTGTATTATCTACTTGCATTTCTTTTGCCCAGGAATACATTTGTTCCTATTCTACTAATTTGTACAAGCTTTCCTTTTTCAAAAAATGAAGTTCACTCTGTTTATTAATCATGCTGGCATCTTCTTGGACGACATAAGATCTTCCCTAGTCTGTATTGTGCATTCAAGCTGAACTTCCATTATAATGCAAGTAGCATTCCTCAAAGTATTTCGTAGAGTTTTGGCCCTCTTTTCTTTTTAGCTTCCTTTTAATCATTCTCCTCATCTTTGAGATGATATTCGACTATCTTGGCAATTGCCCGCTTATGTATATATTCTCTTTGATAGTTTTGTCAGTCACTGTTTCCATCTAGTAGTTTTCTGTTCATTTGATTACTGTATACTGCAGCACTGAATGAAACATTCTGTTTCTCCTCCATCATTGTTTCCTTTTCTCTTGTATATTTTTCAGTTGTAAGCCTGAGGGCAGGGACTATCTTTTATTTATTGATCTATAAACCTCTTTGGAAACCTTTCTGGGTGAGGAGTGCAGTACAAATGGTTTAAATAAATAAATGAGCCTGCAACTCTATACACAAGCAAGCTGTTTAAATCCCAGTGAAGCCTATATGTTAGGCTGACATTTCTGCAGTGGGATAGTGGAAGACTTTTGATTGTGTTTATTGCAAATGGAATGTTGCCTTTGGATTTTTCTAAAATTATGTCTTAGAAATACTTCAACCAAGTACTTCTAAATCCATCAGTAGAATTCTTAGAACAGTGTGATGGACAAAATCTGCAGAACAGAATCTGATGTCTCTTTAACCATTGAACTGGAACTAGAAGGATTGATACATGCAGTATAATAAATATATTCTATGGACTTTCATGCTTTCAGTATAGTATGCAATCAAGTTAAACAACTTTTAACCATATATATGAAAGCTGCTTGCAGTTCCTTTTTCTTAGGGCCACAAAAAACAGTTGAATTACTTCTTAGAGCTAACATAGCAAGCTGTTGAGGGATGTTGTTGGTGTTTTGTTTTGTTTTTGTTTTAAAGCTACCTTATGTTTCAAGTAACTGCGGCTGATGAGCAAAATTGTTGGTCTGGTTTGAAGCTCCTCCCCGGGGGTGCAGAACAGGAAGAGGTGGAGGTCAGAGGGAACTGCTGGAGTTCCTTGGTTGGTGTGTGAGTCTGAGTCCCGTTACCGTTTTACTCTGCATGTGTCTTATGTTACAGCAATGCTGCCTGCACATCAGTGGCCAGAGAGGGGAGAAGGGAGGAAAAGCCTGTTTACACAGACTGCAAACCGCCTGGGGAATAATGCAGGAAAGGAAGTGAGCCGGCTCTCTGTCTGACTGCTCTAACTTCCTGCTCTCTCTCACACACACACACTCTCGCACACACATACTAGCTTGAGGGGGGGGGCGGGTGGAAGAGAGAAAGAAACAAGGGGAAAAATCAGGATCTCATTACAACAGCACCAGAGCGTTTTAGAGGGCTGTCAGCATGGAAAACCGAGGGATTCTACGCGGCTCTCGTTAAAACGGCAAGAAGACGTTGGAGAGAAGCCCACCAGACCAGACGCTGGGTACGTAGCTCTAAAGTTGGAAGAGAGTTTAGTTGGAGGCAAGAAAAAGGGTGGTGGGGGAGACAGGTGGGAGCTGAATGAAACTGCGGTGGTTCTGGGCTGTTGTCCGTTCCAAAGTAACTTGCCTGGGCACTTTAGTTCCCCCGATAAAACGCGAGAAGGGTCGTGCCAGGGGGATCCCTGCCTCGCCGCAAGGCATCCGGTTGGGGCGGCCGAGGGAGGGGAGGGGAGAGGAGGGGAGGAGAGCCGAGGCGAGGCGAGGCGAGGCGAGCCGTGTGTGCGTGTGCGTGTGCTTGGAGCGAGTGGCGGCGAAAGTCTCGGGCGACTTTTCTTACTGCCGACCGAAGTGCCATCTGGCAGCGGGTGTGTGTGTATGTGTGTGTGTGGCGTATCTGGGGGAGCAAAAGCTGGGTCTGGCGAAACGTTATTCCTCGGTCGCAGGGGAGTGGACGACTTGAGGATCCCTCCCCCGGCAGGGCAGGAAGGGATTCGTGAGGAGAGGAGATAGTGACGGCTGGAGTGAGGGAGATGCGAGGAACCCACCTGTCGTTGACCAACGGGGAAGGGAAAGAAGGGTCTTTCTTTGGAGACGGGGGGGGCATAATGTGGCTAGCGGAATGAGGTCGGGGTCCGGCGCACTATTGCCTCGCACGCAGCAAGCGCCTCTCCTGAGTTGTGGCGACGGCGGCGGGCCCAGTTCTGCGTGGAGGAAGCAGCTTTGGGGTCAGCGCTTGTTGAACGGGGTGAAAGGCCAGGGTGGGAGGGGGAAGAGCGCGTCTGACAGTTCCGTGGAGAGCTGCCCTTACTCCGAAGGAGCGTCGTCGGTCGTCAGGAGCCGACTCTGGCGTGCGTGGGAGGGAGGGAGCGCTTTTGCGCGCGTCCCGGACCTGGCGAGGCTCGTGGCGATAATAGCTCGCTTGTAG